TGCCAACAGCGACTGCCCTGACAGGTACAAGAGGAGTGTTGTTAACGCATACGTCGACCGTGCTCTCAGCCACAGCTCAGAATGGAAGCAAGTCGACGAAGAACTCTGTAGGGTAAGGCAGGTCCTAGTCAATAACGGCTTCTCCAATGGTTTCATCGAAGACATCATAAGAAGGAAAGTGAAAAGCCATGCAACCTCTGAAGAGACAACTAACACAACACCTATACCCCCTATTAGACTATTTTACAGGAACTTCTTTTCCACAGCTCATAAAACGGAGGAAAGGGTCCTGAAAGATATTGTTAATAGAAACGTTATCCCTACAGACAAAAATCAGAGGATACAACTGACGATTTACTATAAAACCAGAAAAACGGCCAGCCTACTCATGAGAAACTCTCCAGACACAAAACAGAACGCTTTAAAAGAGACTAATGTCGTCTATGCCTTCAAATGCCCACTTGGGGACTGTAAGCTCCAAAAAAACCAGTATATAGGCAAGACAACAACATCTCTTTCTAGGCGTTTAACGATGCATAAGCAACAGGGCTCCATTAAGGAACATATAATCTCTTCCCATAACCAAACCATCGCCAGAGAAATCCTAGTAAACAACACAGAAATCATCGATAGATACAGCGATAGCAGGCGGCTTGACGTTTGCGAGGCACTACACATCAAGAAGTCAACACCAGCAATCAACAGCCAATTATTGCACAACTATATTCTACCCACCTCAAGACTCCGCTCCAATATAGAAGCATCAAGAAATATGGACCAATAGGCTTTCTACAAACACTTCTATTCAATACCCATTGTTTCTGTTCTGTCTTGTGTTGATACTTTTAATACCCTATTAATATCCCCTCCTGTTCTGTCTTGTGTTAATGCCACATCACCCTTCCCACCTCACTCAAATGTAGATATAAAATCAGAGATACGTTCTAATCAGTTGTGTATTTGTGAAGTCTTTGAAAATGTAATAAGTTTTACGAAACGCGCCCGTGTCGCGTCAGACTAGAAATAAAAATGAATTTTGGAGAAGTGATTTTTGATTTACCTCCAACAGTGAAGCGTAATGTACGAAAGATTGAGAAAATTCGTGTTAGAATTATTAATCTTACTTTTTCGGTCATATTTAATAATATATGTCTACAGGAAAGACTGCTACCAAAATATACTAATATATATATATATATATATATATATATATATATATATATATATATATATATATATATATATATATATATATATATATTATATATATATATATATATGTCGTACCTAGTAGCCAGAACTCACTTCTCAGCCTACTATGCTAGGCCCGATTTGCCTAATAAGCCAAGTTTTCATGAATTAATGTTTTTTCGTCTACCTAACCTACCTAACCTAACCTAACCTAGCTTTTTTTGGCTACCTAACCTAACCTTACCTATATATATAGGTTAGGTTAGGTTAGGTAGGGTTGGTTAGGTTCGGTCATATATCTACGTTAATTTTAACTCCAATAAAAAAAAATTGACCTCATACATAGTGAAAAGGGTAGCTTTATCATTTCATAAGAAAAAAATTATAGTAAATATATTAATTCAGGAAAACTTGGCTTATTAGGCAAATCGGGCCTTGAATAGTAGGCTGAGAAGTGAGTTCTGGCTACTAGGTACGACATATATATATATATATATATATATATATATATATATATGTCGTACCTAGTAGCCAGAACGCACATTTTGGCCTACTATGCATGGCCCGATTTGCCTAATAAGCCAAGTTTTCCTGAATTATTATATTTTCTCTAATTTTTTTCTTATGAAATGATAAAGCTACCCATTTCATTATGTATGAGGTCAATTTTTTTTATTGGAGTTAAAATGAACGTAGATATATGACCGAACCTAACCAACCCTACCTAACCTATCCTAACCTATCTTTATAGGTTAGGTTTGGTTAGGTAGCCGAAAAAGTTAGGTTAGGTTAGGTTAGGTAGGTTAGGTAGTCGAAAAACAATTAATTCATGAAAACTTGGCTTATTAGGCAAATCGGGCCTTGCATAGTAGGCTGAGAAGTGCGTTCTGGCTACTAGGTACGACATATATATATATATATATATATATATATATATATATATATATATATATATATATATATATATATATATATATATATATATATATATATATATATTTGAGTGAGGTGGGAAGGGTGATGTGGCATTACATTTGAGTAAGGTGGGAAGGATGATGTGGCATTAGAGGATATTAATAGGGTATTAAAAGTATCAACACAAGACAGAACACGAAACAATGGATATTGAATAGAAGTGTTGAATAGAAGTATAAATATATATATATATATATATATATATATATATATATTTATTTATATATTTATTTATTTATTTATATATTTATATATTTATATATTTATTTATTTATTTATTTATTTATTTATTTATTTATTTATTTTTGAGGATTCACTTGTTTCGTTATGGCAGGTGGATTGCGACACATCTCCCTCTGCATCAACATCTAGCAGTAGTAGTGCTCAGCAGGATATTCTCTCTCTCACACACCTTCAGAATCTTCTTTATGAACAATATGGTAAGAATATTATTTATTTACAGTAGAGTGAAAGGAACTATCAGGAGAAAGCATCAAGCCATTACTACTATATAGCACTTGGAAGGGATTATGATAAGGATTTGGAATGGGTTATGATGGGGGGGGTAGGAATGATGCCCAACCACTTGGTCAGGAATTGAACCCCGACCTGCATGAAGCAAGACCATCACTCTACAGTCCTGTCAAAGTGGATGGGCTATTTACAGTAGCATATAGCTTTGTCAGCAGTCATCCCACCAATGTTGAGCCAAAATATAAATATTTGTTGACAAAGCCATTACAAAGTTGAGAGTGCTATGTCCATTAGTTGCATGGTGATTTTGCTCATGTATCTTACTACTGTGCACTTTTAGCCTTTTTAATGCCTTTTGAAAGTAGAAAGTGTAAAAAGTCTTCATAAAATGCTCTTAAATATTCCTAGCTTAATGAACTGTATATTACACAAATATTGATGACCCTTGTCCAGAGAACACGGCTGATCTTTGGGAACAACCACATGGCACAGGTCAGTAAGGTGCCTTTCATATTCACTTCATGACATGTTTTCAGAATACAGTATTTGACCAACAAGGTTATAATTCACATTTCTGTAACGTATACTCGGTATAAGTCAGTATCAAATTTATGTATGGAATAGTGTGCAGTGTTTATAATAATTAGTGAGGAATACTGATGTACAATGACAGCAAGGAAGAGCAGATGCAAGCACCAATTACAGAGCTGCTTCAAATCAGTAACTTTGTTGTTAAAGGTTTATGATTAGGCATTATAAAGTGGCAAAAGTGACAAAACATAGTATACAATATACACAGTATTACAATAGCGTGTAATATGCACAGACTTTGCAAAAGTTTTGACAAATGTGACCATGGTGTTAATGTGCACAAAATGCACTCAAAAAGAATTGGAGGCAAATTTGGGATATGGATCTTTAACTTTCTAACGAACAGAATTCAGAGTGTAATAGTCAATACGGTATAATCAGGATCATCCACTGTGAAAAACTCGGTCCCCCAGGTCAGAGGCCCCCTGAGAAGGCCTGGTCGATGACAGGGCCGCGGGGTCGCTAAGCCCTGAAATTGCCTCAAAGTAACTCTGAGGTACCATACTTGCTTCGATACTTTTTCTCGTCTTCATATCGGACATAGACGAGGATACAAAATATAGTACTGTATCATTATTTGCAGATGACACTAGAATTGTCATGTGAGTAGACAATATAGAAGACATGGCACACCTTCATGTCTGATGTAAATCAGGTCTTTTGATGGGCTACAGATAATATGATGTTCAATTAAAATAAGTTACAGCTCCGGCTGGAACTTATTAATAAACTTACAAATAAATCCCTCAAATCTAATTGCAGTGATTGATGTATAGATATGTACAGGGCTTTTTACATTTAGTTTTCTTATTTACAGGAGAAACCCACTTTAATGCATGGAATCAACCACTTCTCTATACAACAGTAAGTAAACTTAATTTTCCTATAATAGATAAAGGACAATGGTTTTAAGTTAATATCTGCTGTATGATAGTTACATTATTTCTCATTGTATTATCAGTAATTCAGTCAGAAGTTATGTGTGTTATGAAATCTGCTAAAATTTTAAACTAAACATTTTAAATATTCTTATGAAAATTCTACAACACGTCTAATATTAGAATACAAATAATCTGCAGAAAGCCTCCTAACCAAAGAGATGTTGCTTTTATCTATCTCCAGCCCATCCCATACACGCACTTAACCTGTGTGTGAAACTTTCCCATGAGTTTATTACTTGATAACATTTTCCACCTGCTGGATGGAAAAATTCTGGGAGTTCTACTTCCCAAGCCTGACCCGAGGCCATGCTTGACTTGAGAGTTTGGTCCACCAGGCTGTTGCTTGGAGTGGCCCCACAGGCTCACATATATTTCAAGATCAAGTGTGACAAAATAAAATTGGGAAGTGTAAAAGCCTTACAATACCTGGGAGTATGCAAGATGAGCACTGTAGATGGAAGAAAATAGAATTGGTAAACTAGTATAAAAAAGGGAAAACTGCAGGAATGCAGTACTCATTAGAAAGGCTGTGCAAAGTTCAAAATGTGTTACAAGAGAGAGACCATTAACATGAATGTTGTTTTGATAGCTTTTCCAGTAGAGACGTGTATTATGTTTGCAAAATGTTAAAAACTGCACTCGTGCATGATTAACTATTCCACATTTCATGATTTCAGATTCTGCTACAAACCGGCCAGTTTGAGGCTGCTGTAGAATTTTTGAGCCGTAAAGAAGCCTTGAGATGTCATGCTGTTCACGTGGCCCTTGCACTACATGAAATGAATCTTTTAGCTTTACCTGCTGAAGTCCATGCTCCAATGTGTATGTAAACGTTTCATTATTAGATAATGGCTGTGGAGAGATCTTGTGGGATTAGTTATTAATAAGTCGGTAATCACAGTCAGTCAGTCAGTTCTTTTATATTTAGGAGTTTTTTTTTATGAACTGTTCCTAAATTTTACAATATAAAGATACAATTTTATTCAATTTCATGTAAAATTTATACAAAAAATTATACAGTATTCCAATTGATGGGGTACCCCTCTCCCTCTTCAACAAATCTTCCCTCCCTTCCTCCCTGTGAGGAGGAAGGCTGTAAAAATGGGTATATTTAGTGTATATGAGAAGGGAAGGTGGGATTGTTAAAGTGTCTACTAGGGGAGACAGCCATGTGGCACCACTTTGTGAAGAGGCAGTAGTGTATCATTGATGTTTATGAGAACTCACCAGGAGCACAATATACACAGCCTTGTGAAACAGTGGGGTACTTGTGGATAATTTGAAGCAGGGTGGTCATTCTATGGAGTAGGCAAGTTATTGTGAACGAATGAGTGCAAATTTTAAATATCTTTAGCCTTGTTTTTATCCTATATATACTGCTTTTTTTTTTTTTTTTTGTTCTGTGATGATGTCTTTCCCATGCCATGAAAGTGGGAAATTAGGTAATGATGCAACCCGTCCTCTTAAAAATAACGTCACTTTTGGCTTGTATGCTCACTATGGGCAAATTTGGACGTAATTTGAAATGAAATCGACTCGCAAAAGTGACATACCTGTACTGTCCCGTTTTCTATTTGAGTCGTCTGGCTTACTCAGTAAGGTTAGAAGAGGAAACTTTCAAATAACGTTTTTCATAATGTTTTGAAACTTAATGAGAATTTCTTACCCACCTAACCTATCAGAGGACAATTAACTTACTGTTGTTGGAAAAAAATCCCAAATTTATTTTCATTTTTTTTTTTTCATTTTCAAATTACGTCCACTTTCGGCCATACTGGTAAATGGCCAAAAGCGACGTTATTTTTAAGAGGACAGGTTGAATGATGAGCATCATAATTGTAAGATACATTTAAAATTGTTTAAAAATATATTTTTCACTTTTAAAAGTGAACCATGTGCATTTCATAATAAACAGTACTTTTTACATTTGCATAGTATCACGTGAAGATGGTGATCCTGAAGGAGTACGTCGGTTAAACCTGACCCGACTCATTCTATTGTATACTCGCAAGTTTGAGGCCACTGATCCATGTGAAGCACTACACTACTGCTTTTTCCTAAGGTAATATATGACTTAACATTTAAAAAATGTCTTTTTAACATTGGTTGCTCATACTTTAAGAAAGTAAATAATCTTACACTAGATAATTTAACAGATCACTAAAAGGGAAAAACGGAGAGAACATGTTCGCAGGTTGCATTAGTCAGCTGGTTCTCAACTCCCGGGAATTTGATCTTTTGCTTGGACGTTTGGAACCAGATGGTCGTCGTACACCGGGCATCATTGATAAATTCAAGGTAAGCATTAAGTGTTTGTTCTGCCTTTATTAGGTTTTCCTAATAAAAACATCCTATTATATAGGTGCTTAAGGTTCGCTTCAATACATACATTAAAGTAGCGGCAAAGATCTGAGAATTGTTTTGCATAATTCCTCATCTATAGACAGAAAGGGAGTTAGTTTAGAGGTTCAAATCTTCAAGATAAAGTGTAGATTGTGGAGCTAATATGGTGGGAATTTTTCTGTATTTTGATGTACATGTACAGTATAGTACAGATGTTGACCAGACCACACACTAGAAGGTGAAGGGACGATGACATTTCTGTCTGTCCTGGACCATTCTCAAATCTCGCAATCGACTTGAGAATGGTCCAGGACGGACCGAAACGTCGTCGTCCCTTCACCTTCTAGTGTGTGGTCTGGTTAACATACTTTAGCCACGTTATTGTGACTCATTGCCTGCATAGTACAGATGTATTTATTTGCACATGCTTAACAGAGATGATATATTTTCAGGTTGATGTGAGTGAGGTAACACAAATGGTGGCTCAAGACTCGGAAAAGAAAGGTCTGCACGAAGATGCAGTCAAGCTTTATGATTTGGCAAAGGTAAACTTATTTAAACTTTGGAGTTGATTATTTGTGGCAATAATGTACAGTAACAAGATTACTCAAAATAAATTCAGAAGTCATTAAATACAATATTTTATATTTGTGTTTAAAATATAACCCTCAATGAAGTGTTTTAGGAAAAGTCTTTTATACATGCTTCAACCTAATTTTGCAAACGTTATTAAAGTTATGTACAGTATTGGCAGAATTATTGAACGAGTTTAAGCCTATGCATTGAAAAAGAACCAAGATTTTGTTGGGAATTGATGAAAGTAGAATGGTTGACCAGTAAAGGGATAAATATCTGAATTTACAAGTATTTATAAAGTTAGTAAATGGAGGATTGATTTATTAGGATGCAATTGATGGCATATTTTATTATACTGTATTGGGTAGATACAGACAGACATGCTTTTTAGAACACATTTGTCTTTATTAATCAACAGAATCATGAGAAAGTAGTGTCACTGCTGAATCAGCTGCTGAGTCAAGTGGTGCACCAGACTGAAGGTGGCAGTGGTAGTCAACGTGGACGTGTTGTTGAGTTGGCCACTGCTGTAGCACTCCGCTTCAAGACCCATGGTCACAAGACCCATCCCAATAATGCTGCTACATTGCATCTTCTCTTGGATCTTACTACTTTCTTTGATTTGTACCACAAAGAAAGATATATGGATGCTCTTGAGGCAAGTTTATCATTATTGTTTAAACAAAGTATTCCAATAGTACCTGGCCACTCATGAAATTGTAATCCTATAAGACCATAAGTTCTTATGGAGCTACTTGGAGAAACTGTGTACTTGTGGTTAAAAATTAAGTGTTGTATGTTTGTGCATCAGTTTGACATTGCTTCATGGTAAATAGTATTACATTTTCTAATTAGAGATGGCTCCAACCATATTGGCTAAGACATTAAATAGGATTAGGGGCTTTATTTGATAGGATAGCAGGATAGCATTTGACTATGGATTCAAGAGATTGGAGGCCAAGTCGAGCTCAGTTCCCAGTGACAAGCAGGCAGGATGACAGTTCTACATTAGCATGCACTTTATGAAAGCCACACCTGCGATGACAGATCTAGGGATGTTATCGAGTTATAAGTAGTATGGACATCCCTCATTCTCCAGGTTGATTACTGTATTTGGTGGCAGCATAAGCTTTGTAAGCTTTTCCTTTACAATTACCTTGACTGTTCTATTAGAAGAGGTTGAAAATAAACATTGACTTATGTCTGTACTGTGTTTTAACACTCCAGAAGCCCAGACAGCTGGATGAAGCCAGTGTTAGGAATCATGTTTACAGTATTAACTATTTAATTTTATGTATCTTGTTTACAGTGTTAACTGGAAACTTTCTTCTAGGTTTTGAAAAAGCTACGTATTATAGCCTTGAGTCGAGACGAAGTAGAGACACGTGTTGCTGGAGTGAGCGCTCAAGGAAGTGAAGTGCGCAGTGTTCTCCCTCATGTTCTACTAGCAGCCATGACCACAACGCATCGATTGTATCGCATGCCTGTCCACCCACAGACTCCTCAAACTTCTTTCAATGCATCTACTACAGTAATTTCTCCAGCTGCCAAGGTAAGATGTTCACAAGAAATTACAAAATAATTAATACATTCTGTTTTGAATACTGTATCAAGCAGACAATCATGTGCTTAATTTTAAGATGTTATATCACAGTGCATTATGATGAATTTTTATTAACCACTGTTAATTATATATTTTATTAAGGTTTCATACAGGAGGGAAATTGGTTGATCTCCCATTTTTGTGGCTGCACTGGTAGATCCAGCTGCAATTCTTTTACAAGATTTTCTATTCTTCAAGCTTTTTCACTCTTGGGGCTTTTTGCATGTTAAGGTGCTTTTATCATCACAGCGCCTCTTAGCAATATCGTTTATAGCCGTTATACATTTGGCTACTACTCTCACTGCCTTTGCATGTCAGTTGGTGGTTATTTTACTGCCTGATGACATGGTTCTCTTTGGGTTTCTGCCTTCCTTCCTGAGTGAGGCTTCAACTTTGTGCTCTTGTCAGGGTTTTTTCCATTTTCTCTAGCACCTATGAACTTTGGCAAAGGGTAGGCCTTTTTCCACTTTCTGCTATCAGGCTTCCAGATGGAACATTTTAGATGTGTACCCCAGATCCGCAGGTGCCTACCTCCTGGATGTTCCTCCCTGTTTGAGTGTCCCTGGATGCATTGTGTGGGCCCTAGGTATATAATTGACTCCACAGGCATGTTACTCCCTAGCATTTAGTTTGACTCCCTGGATCACTGAGGGGTGTACCCCAGACCACTGTGGGTTTGGTATCCAGTGCTGACTGCAGTTGGCACTGGACAATCTTTTATGGGAAGTTATTATGAGAGTAAAAATCAGATTTGGATGGAACATTTATGATACTACCTTTTAGGAGTTCCAAAAAGAAAAGAAGCTTCAGATATGTTGGTAAATCTTAGCAATATGCTACCAAGTTTTTTGGCCTTCAAATGAAAACTGTTATGCAGTATTTAGATATTGTACTATTCTTTTGGGGGTTTACCACTACTGGATGGCTCAGAAGGTAGAAGTAAACTATTCTTTACAGGATGAGATCTGCATAATTAGTTTTTCAACTAATTTTCTTAGTCAACATATTAAAAATGGGGGTAATTTTTCCAATTAAAGAATGGTGATTCAGTAATTTGTAATTAATACAAAATGAGTTTTGAGGCACAATCAATTATTTTGTCTTTTTTTCCATACAGCATCTTCAAGAGCAAGCTCGTGCCATCGTCACGTTTGCTGGTATGATTCCCATGAGATTGCATTCAGAGATAAATGCACGTCTTGTCCAGCTGGAGGCTGTAATTAATTAGCATTTGGTTATATTTATCAATTAAACTTTTTCCATGTACAGTATTTTTGAAAACTTAAAAGCTATAAAGTTTTAGGAGTTTGGTGGTAATGCATAGTAAAGGTATTGTAATAAGTGTTTTGTATTATTTGCATCATAGGTTTTTCATGTGAAGCCTCCATTTTTCAGAAAAATAAGGGATTAACTCCTGAACTTTGTCAAACTTTAACATCAAGTATATTATGTCTTCACTTTTTGGCTTCTTTATAACTAACTAGAAGATTGGTAACTTACAGGTTGCACTACCCATATTTGTGGTTAGGGTAATTTTGTGCAAAATTAAGAACTCGTGAATCCCATTTATGCAAAGAACATGTAGTTTAAATTTACAACCTTAAAATTACTGTATCACTATATTAACAGTGGAATCACTTGGCGCCAGTCAAAAATTTGTATAACTTTTTTTAATTTGTGTATTTTTACCCTAAAATGTGTATACAAACCTTTATATTCATGCTGTATTTCATTTGTTTTTTGAATACAAATGTGAGTTTATACATTGCACACAATTATAAATGTCCTGGAACTACACAGAAAAGTAGTAGCAATCTATCAGACTTGGATGTTACCGTTGTACATCAATTATAATACCTGGTCAGCTTCTGGCATTTACGAGTTTAATGTTATATAAATCTCTTCATATTTTTGTAAATACTATCATTGATTCATGAATATCATGAAATTTGTTAAAGGTTATATGTATTTTACAATATAATTTGTTAAAGGCTCGTGTAACAGCTCTGTATTTTCATACATTTATTTTGGAACATCTAACCCAGTAAACCGAGAATTAAGCCAGCGATGGACAAGAGCTACTCCTGAATTCTCGTTATTCACAAACACTACAGATTGGCACAGATTTCACAGCTGTTTGCCGATATACCAGCGAGTGTTTTAGTGAGCCTGGGCTCCTAATGGTTGAGGCTTTGAGGCTTTTTGGGGGGGGGGGAATGGGGTTTTTGTATGCAGGCAAAAACCCACAGTTCCCATCCTTATCCCCCTAGGCAAGGAGTCAATAAGCATTTACTTATAAACCTGTATATTTTTGCTTCTCAATTTCTGACTGCTTTGTAATATTAAAAAAAATTAGGAAAAAAAGATGTACAGGTTCGTAAGTAGATGCATAAATGCTTGATGAATCGGGCCAAAGGCCTTCATGGACGGTACCCTGCAAACCTTTTCTGAACCAACCCATACCTGCAGTTCAAGCTGAGGTGTCCATTACATTAAGCCATCAATGCCATCTGTTAAATAACCTACACTCGCCCCAGGAACGGCAACATTTCCAGGCATATATCAGTGGCACTGGCCCTAGACATGTGCCACATAATTATAGAAAATTCTTGACATTATTTTGTCATGGTTTATGATGTCTTGCATCTGTCAAATACTATCTTGGTTCCCACCATGATACTGTACATACTCTTAGTGAACAAATATAGGCTACTGATCTCAGTAGGTGTCTTGGTGAAGAAATTAGTGGCAAGGAATTATCTGGGGTGAAAAAGGAAATGTAAAGTTAAATGGTTTGTTTGCTAGGTTGTGACAAATAAGAATATGGGAATGTTTTAGTCTATCATAATTGTAGTGCTTAATTTATTTAATCTGGCAATTTGTCAGTTTTTTTTATCTTTAAGCCATGAACAGCAAGCTATTGAAAATTCTACTACGAATGCAAGTACTGCCAAACCTAAACCCAACAGAAGAAGAAAAAGAGGTCCTTGCAGGTGAGAGAGTGTCAAAGCTTGCGAGAAGGTGTTGCTGGGGACAGCAGCCTCACTCTGGCCCTTGTTCTCTTGCTGTTCAACAGAGTTTTTCTTCCTGGCCCATAACATTATATCTTTGCTCCACTTCTCATATAGTCCTGCCTGAAAAATAAAGAACCTTTGTACCAGACAGTATAAGGTCACAGGCATGTTCTTTCCCCCTCTCCTCCCGAAAGTAATGTTGATCCTATTAAGTTACATAGTAACTTAAGTAATGTTGATCCGAGTAAGCTGTCAACATGAGGGTTATTTAGTTGGCATAAGTCTATGTTATTGTCTTCATGTATTCCAATATTTTTTTTTTCACCCACTACAGATGCTAGAGATGGAAGACTTCTGGTTCATAGGCTACAAGCTCTCCCGCAGCTCATTTTAAAACCTTTTCCTACTTAGTTTTCCCCAGAACATAAGCTAATTGTTTTATATCCAGGTTCCCAATTACTGGTAGGTGCAAATTGGGTAAAGTGAAGGAATGGTGTCCAATCATCCCACTGTACAAAGGATTCAAACTGGGCTCTTATCATTCACAAGACAAGCAGGTAACAGTGCCAACCTCTCCACCACAGGGTGCCTTTTTTTTTTTCTCTCTCTTTGTAGAGTTGGTATTTTGTTAAAATTTCTAAGATTGTTAGAGATATTAGTGATTCCATTTACTTCTTTCTTTATTATCTTGGGGATGGGTATGTTAACTGTTTTCTCTAGATTAAAAAAGTAAGCGATGAGTTAATATGGTACTGACCTCGGTGATAGCCATTATGCAGCGGTCAAGGTGAGACTTGTACGGGGCATCATGAGGTAGTGGCCAAGCAGACAAACCTGGAATGACATTTTCACGGCCAAGATAGAGATTGGTGCTACCATCTGCCAGGGTAAATTTCTGTGCTATCACCAACTGAAGATAACGACGTGCCTCGATGTGTGCTCGTCTGCAAAACGAAGATCAATTGCTTATCAGCAAAATTTTATTAAACGGGCTGAAAAGAACTGAACAGATATCCCACAATTAAGAATACGGTATATTCTTAACACTCTTGAAGAATATTATTTTCAAATTATTTCAAGACTTCATTAAATGATACCTGCTTGATGGGGTTGTTGGAGTTGTTCTGCTCTCCAAGCCTGGCCTGAGGCCAGGCTTGACTTGAGGCCACAACTTTCTGTCCATTACTTTCAATGCCTGATGTGAGGTAACTACCTGTGTCAGGATGTTGCTTTGTGCAGTACACACTAATTAAATCTATCACAAATTAGGCGATCTGCTCAGATCAGATGCCTTCACCCACAAGGGTTTTGAAAGGCCCTTGCAGCTTTCAGTCAAATGTCATCATCAATAGTTTACTCTCAACTTAGTTTCTCTATATCTGCTTTTTTATTATTAAAATACATATATTCAAGGGTTACAGCTCATGGATTATAATGGTTTTACAATAGTTAAAAAAAATCTGGGGGGGGGTGTTGTCGTCGGCCCAGTGCCCCCTGAAGGAGAGCACGGCCACAAGACTCCTTTCACAAAGTCTGTGGATGGAAAATGTTCAGCAATGAGTTCATAGACTTTAGCATTTGTATAACAAGATGACAGAATTACATTCTAGGGAGACAGTATGTAGGGAAAATAGTGATAGGGAGAGATGGGGTGGGTGGGTGAAGAAGTTGGTAAAGGGGTGGTGTGGAAGGTTGGGGGGGGGGGGGTAATTGTGAAAATGGAGATAGAGGAAAGGGTGTGTGTGGAGTCAAGGGAAAGGATGCTATGTAGAGATGGGGGAGGATGGTGTGTGAGAACACAGACCCAGGCACTGCTGGGTACCCCATCTAGTGTATGTCTATATTACAGCAAAATAAATAAATAAATATATATATATATATATATAATATACACACACTGTATATATTATATATAACACACACTACAATCACCTTCCTGGTTTGGTGCCTTCTTTTGATAAATACTTACTTACACTATACAATCACTGTATCATAGATAACATTTCACCTTCAAAAATGTTCAAATTTTGTCAGTGAGCATACCAGATGAGCACATTTATTTTGCAGATATAAGCAGAAGTTTGTACACTGAACACAAAAAGCTAATTTTGTATACTCACTTGCTAGTGGCATGCATTAGACCATCGTATGCTGTTGGGACAAAGTCCATCTGCTTGGCAAGTGTTTTGAATACTGTGGAATCAGATTTGCTGTAGAAGTCTCTGAATTGGATCCCATATGGAGGCATTGTAACCCTATTAGGAGACAAGACTGAAAAGTGAGGCATTAATTTAATATTGGCTACATTAAGTATCTTCCAAAATTTAAAAATATTAAAACCATAATGGTAACATTTCAAATTCACATACAATTCTTCCTTTGTCCTTTCATCATTTTATTATTCATACAAGTATCTCTCCAATTCATATCCACTATCATGTTAAAAATTAAAAAAAAATGCAAATTTATGAAGCGAGTGTGCATGCGCACAACTCCAAAGGTGGAGTTGTGGTATGAATGTAGCAGGACCTGGATTGTAACTGGATGGGGTTCTAAGAGTAGTTCTACTTCTACTTGACAGAGAGCTTGGTTCAATAAGCTGTTGCTTGAAGCGACACGCACGCCCACATATCCACTACAACCCGATTGGTCTGGCACGTCTTTGAGAAAACTCTCCCATGTTTTCTCGAAGACGTCCATTTTTTGTTTTGGCAATATTTCTTGTACTTGCGGAGAGGATGTCGAACAGCCATGGGCCTCTGATGTTAATGCAGTGTTCTCTGTGCTTATGGGGTACCTCTGTTCGTCACTGGTTCTATTCTGCATTTCCTTTCATATCGTTCACTCCAGTATGTAGTTACAGTATTTTACTGTGTAAATTTGGGACCACAGTAAAATAACTTTATATATAATAATAATATAAATATTACTATATATATATATCTTTCTGACATCTCAAGTCATTCAGTTTCCACCCATGTCCCCTTGTTCTAATGGTATTCAGTGTGAACATTTCATATATTTCCACTATGTGAATCCCTTTTAAGTATTTTGAACATCATCATGTCTTTCCCGTCTCCTTTTTTCTAGTGTAGCTAGGTTAAATTTTTTCAGTCACTCTTCACACCCCATTCCTCGCAATTTTGGGACAAGCCTTGTTGGAAACTTCGTAACCTTTTCCCAGTCTCCTTATGTGTTTCTATAGATTGGGGCTCTATAATGATGGGGCGGCATACTAAGACTGGTCTCATGTGGGCATTGTAAAGCGCTCTAAATGCCTTCTTACCTAGGTCCCTGAATGATGATCTATCTTTTGTTAAGTGTAAAGTATGCTGCTGATGTTATCCTGTGTGTGTGTGTGTGTGTGCCTCTGGAGTTAAGACTTTATATGGACACAAATGTGTTCCTCCTATATAGTCTTCCCAGCTTGGTGCCTTCTTTTGATAATTGTATATTGAAATTTGTGTTCCAGTATACATAAAAAGAAATACAAACGTTCACTCAGGTGCACCCACACGTACAAAACAGTAGGCCAACATGAACAGGTCCTCACATCTTGGTAACTTTGATAAGTTCCTCAAGGGTTTCAGGTCTAGGAGGATACTTTGGTATGGTGAGGGATGCAGTTAGATTTCCTCGGTAAGCTGTACCGATGATGAGGGCAAACACCAGCCATCCACCAAACACTGCCCGCGCCCACCCTCTCCTTGTAAGGCGCTCTGCCATGCTCTGTCCCAGCAGTGTTCCCACCACATCCTGGATCACCTGCTGGGAGTCTATCCCACCATGGAGTGTGTCAACAGTCACGTGGCTCATCTTTAGAACAACACAAAAATAAAATAAAATTATATATCAGTACAAATATACTGTACATTCAATGGCAAGTTAAGCTTGCATATTAATATAATTCAGAACTGATGGACTAATTTAAATTTGTATTTTTTAATGCCGAGTACATCAATTAGAATGCCGACATGTTAAGAATGTAGCAACTAGGCCAAGATATTTTTGTATGTATTATAATTGAGCCATAAAATACTTGAAATATAAAAAGCACTAATGATATAACCAAGAGATGCAAGAAATGGGAAGATGAAATAGTTACCAATATAACGGCAGTAGGCACCAGCATCAGCACAACCAGGGTGTACGCCCACACCTCATTAGCCAGGGGGTAGTAGAGGCTGAGAAAGCGTGGCTTGAGTACTGGCTTGGGCATGCAGAAGGTCGGGGAGGCATACTCATAAGGGTACGAGAAGTCATAGTGCAGCAGGCGACTTGGCAGTACAGCATAGATGATTGTGGCCATGAACGATTCTCGTTCCTCCACCTTCTTTGTCACCTGTTGAGAGACATGGGTTAACTGGGGGATGATATGATTTTTTGTTTCTTAATGGACAACTACCCTTTTAATTATTATTAAGGGCAATTTCATTCACTGAGTTCAAGGATCAGAAGTACTTTTGACCCATGTGTGTCTGGATTCACTACTACAGACCAGGCGAGACAGGAAGGTGGATCTCTCGTTTAACTAGATACTGTATATGTGAACCAGTTAGATTCTTACGGCTAGTCGGTAGGGGTATAGTTATGCTCTGGATTATACTATACTAGTTTAGACAAAACTTGAATCAAAGCTGCCTCTTGATCCAAAACTTTCAACATTCTCCCATTAAACATAAGAGGAATGACTTGCCGACCTCTCACGGTGGTCAAAAGAGAACTTGATAAACTTCTCTAAAGTATACCTGATGAACTGGGCCATGATTCATACATCAGGCTGTGAACAGCTGCATCAACAGCCTGGTTGACACGACCACTGAGGAGGCGTGGTCAGAGACTAGGTTGCAGGGACATTGATCCTCATTGGAGTGCAAGAGCTCCCCACACCATCCCTACCACTGAACCACCACCAATGGCTGCTTGACCTGAAGGACACACTTTCACTTATTGTCACCTGTCTCTCCCATCAGTGTAGCATCACCTGCTTATCTCTCCATTTTCCATTCTTAATGTTGTAAGTTACATCCAGGGGAAAGTCACTCACTGGCATAAGAGGACCTTACCATCAAGGGGTTCAGGAAAACAGGCAGGCATGACATTACCATCATATAACACCTGCTACCATTGTAATCCCCTGCCTGATACCATTAAGTTTACACATTGGTGCTCTTAAATATATTTCTTTATACAGTCTAAACAATATTTACAGTTGAGTGTAATCTGGTACTGCTAATCTTGCACAGTACCAATGGTACATTCAATGAAATGCTTAATCTCATTTCAAAGGAGAAACACCGACCGCCACCACTCCATTACACATTAGTTACTACAAGGGTATTGAAAATTACTAATTGGGGAATTGCCACTGGTTCATAAGGTAAACCACCGTGCCCTAAAGTTTACCGTAACTTTAATTACTACTAACCGATTCCTTCTTTTGATGTAATCAGTTACTGACTGTTATGGTAAACAATTTAATACTGGAGAATTTGAGAGGTTCAAATTCCTGATCAATAACCTGATCAACCAGGCTGTGACTCATACGTCAGGCTGCGAGCAGCCGCGTCTAACAGCCTGGTTGATCAGTCCAGCAACCAGGAGGCCTGGTCGACGACCGGGCCGCGGGGACACTAAGCCCCGGAAGCACCTCAAGGTAGCTTCACACAAGGAGGTTCAACAGCCTTGATGACACGAAGACGGCAAAGGAGGGAAAATTAATGACGCACAAAGATGGAAAGTTAACAGGATTTTAAGTCAAAATTATGATTTTACCAAAAGTCACTCAGCTGCATCCTATCCTACACTGGCAAATGGTAAGTAATTTAGACATGGACAATACATCAGAGATATCACACGTTACCTTATGAACCACTGCCTCTCACCAGCAGGAGACTCACTGCCTCTACCTGGCCTCGTGAGGATCCACAGACCAGCTCCAGTCACTTCCCAGGAACTCAATTCTATCTCCATACACAAGGTATATGTACACCCAAAACTGCACCAGCTGATATCAGGTGGTGGGTTTTAGTTGGTGTAAAACTACAGTGGATGACTCGTAGTCTGCGACCCCCGTTGAAAACATCACACTCGGGAATTTTATAAGAATCTTTTAATTACAGTAATGCTGTTTGACAAGTCTTATCCCAGAGTGATCTTATGGGCAAAGACATACAACTCCAACATGTTAACTACCTTCCACTTGATATTTGATGCAAAACAGCATTCTAAAGAGGAATTTTTCTATTAAGAATTGTTTGACTAATGGAAGGTGAGGCCACCCTCTTACACTCAAGGAGGGTGAATTATGGAGAGGGAGGGAGGAAAAAAGAGAAAGATTGAGATTCCTTGTTGTAACAATCTTGGGGTTCAGGAAAACGAGCAGGCATCATGTCGCTACTACAAAATCATGTAGTTCAGGATCGAAGGCAGGCTCGCCTGTACAGTAATTATAAAGGAGATGGCAGACTGTTCTACAATGCATGGCTGGTTTAGCCCTTACCTCATCCCAGTCAGTGGTGTTGATGATAACGATGGTGAAATTGAGTGTTTTTGCTATGGTCTCGAGCATGAGGTAATCAGTTCCATAGTACTGGGTGCTGCTGCTTTTGTTGCCATCCTCTTCAATCCAGTATGGAGGGAAAGGAAGAGCAGTTACAGTCACCCGCCCACCATAAAAACTGCAAAGGAAAATTATGAGTCATGTACAACTCAAATCTTCAAGACAAAGTAGAATGTAGAAAGACGAATGAAGCAGAAAAATTGTTTAACTACCTAAACCTCTTATCTCTGCAAGGGTCTCGGTAAGATCTTAAGGAGGATATACAGTATTATCAACCATCTTACAGTGTAAGGTGATTTAGTCATTTATTTCATGACACGAGTGCACATGCAAATTGGGTAAAACTGATTTCACATATATCTTTCCATCAATGGTGGATCACCAAGTTTTTCAATTCATATTTACGTTATATATATTAGTTTGTAATGTGTATCTGAAGCTTACTTGGAGTATTTGTCAGGGAAGAACTGGAGATGGGTTGTGTAGGTAAGCTGAGCAGCTTGGGTCCATGTGGCCAGTCTGACCACCACCGTCTTGTTCTGGTGGTATGGAAGATGAGTGAATACGCCGAACCTGGTGCAAAATCATACTGTTAGACCATACAAACATACAGTATATAGTTTGACTTTTTTCCCTATATTTGATGTTTTCACTCAACTTGCATTATGCAGTGGAAAGGGAAAATTTTCTACAAGATAGGACTGGTGATATATTAGACGGGTAGGATTGTAAACATCAAGAGATTTTAAGATCTGATTGTTGAAGTCACCAAACGTGTGTCGAGGAAGGATAAAATTTGCAATAATCTTAATGCCGTATTTATCGTGGCGTAAATACTGAATATAGCATGTAATAACAAATTTATTGGAGGCACATGTACAAGTGTTGTATATAGACATAGGAATTCCAATATAAATATAATAATGCAGTTACCCATATACATATAGAGTGGTGGGATACATGGTATTGATATTGGACACACACACACACACAGAGTGTGTGTTTTAGTGTCAGAGTGGTTGACAAATGGAATGCATTAGGAAGTGATGTGGTGGAGGCTGACTCCATACACAGTTTCAAGTGTAGATATGATAGAGCCCAGTGGGCTCAGGAATCTGTACATCAGTCGACGGTTGAGAGATGGGACCAAAGAGCCAGAGCTCAACCCCCGCAAGCACAACAACTGAATACACATACACACACGACAGAAGACCCAGGCAAGAGTATGACAGAAACATGGCAGGTAACAATATAATCGAGAGGGCAGCCTCTACTGCCTGTAAAAGTCGATCCCATCTACTCGTCATGGGGGACTTCAATCACAGAAGGATAGACTGGGAGAACAAGGAACTGCATGGAGGAGAGGAAACATGGAGAGCTAAACTAATGGAGATGGCAACAAAAAAACTTTTTAAGCCAGCATGTCAGGGAACCCAGAAGAATGGGGGGAAACAACGAACCAGTGAGACTCGACCTAGTCTTCATTCTGAACGACTTCGACATAAGGGAAATTAGTTTCAAGGCCCCAGTAGGAATGAGCAATCACAGTGTACTGATAAGTTTGAGTATCTGGTCGAAGAAGGGCTAATGAACTCAAGGAAGGGACCTGAAAACAAAAGGCTGGTATTCCGTAAAGGAAACTACGTGGAAATAAGAAAATTACTAACATATAAAACGGGAACAGAACTCAGGGAAAAGACGGCCCAAAACATGATAGAATACATCACGCAGAAGTGTAAGGAGGCATGAGAGAAGTTTATCCCGGTCGAAAAGGAAACAAATGAAATGCAGATGAGAAACTCATGGTTTAATCAGAGATGTAAGCTCTTGAAGCAACTAAGTAAAAGGGCGTAGAGAAACTATAGAAATAACAGGACACTTGAGAGCAGAGAAGGATACCAGAGTGCCAGGAATGAATACGTCAGGGTGAGAAGAGAGGCAGAAGGGCAATATGAAAACGACATAAAGCAAGGCAAAGACTCAACCTAAATTGCTGCACAGCCACATCTGGAGAAAATCAACAGTGAAGGAACAGGTAATGAATTGACAGGGTAGATAAGGATAAACTGTTTAACACGGGTGGTACACGCACAAGGGGACACAGGTGGAAACTAATTACCCAAATGAGCCACAGGGACGTTAGAATGAACTTTTTCAGTGTCAGAGTAGTTAACAGATGGAATGTATTAGGCAGTGATGTGGTGGAGGCTGACTCCATACACAGTTTCAAATGTAGATATGATAAGAGTCCAGTAGGCTCAGGAATCTGTACACCAGTTGATTGACAGTCGAGAGGTGGGACCAAAGAGCCAAAGCTCAACCTCCGCAAGCACAACTAGGTTAGTATAGCTGGGGTCTCCACCCCACTGGAAGGGACAGTGCTGGTTAAAAGATATATTTCTCTCATCCAGGAGAGCATCATACCAACCTTGCAAAATGATGGCAAACAAATCTAATACACATTCCACAAGAAATGGTAGAACCAATTTAAAAGATATGATCAAAATGGCTAATTATGAGATATTTAAACGAAGGGAGATTAAACTGGGAACAATGAACCCACAGGGAGAGATCCAGCACTGTTTGTTAACGAAAAGTGACGTTATTTTTAAGAGGAGACGGGTTGGTTTGTTATGGTTAGAGAACCCCACAACTTGCAACCCATTACTTGTGACTACATGTATGGCGACGCTCGCTATCGTGTGCTGTGTTGAAGGCATCCTGTCTGGCGTTTTGTTAGACCTAAATGTTACGTCACAGCCAGGGTGAACGCTGCTGCGTCACAGATATGAACATACAGTAATTGCCAGAAATGAGAACATGGCAGTGGCTACAACAATTGTTGAGCAACAATGTTAGGATTAAGGTGGTGGTGGTTGTTTTAGGTTCAGCAACTCTGAACAAAATTTCCAAGTAGCACGGGATATAGAGAACCCGTATCACGAAGATTAATGTATGTTGTAGGATTAAGGTGGTGCATAATGTTTCGAGCAGATGCTCTCTTGATTGATAAGCATTGTAAATAGTAAATCATGGCACCTATAACCCGGTGACGTTATCATCCATCAATTGGTCTGAGTCTGTTGTCAATAAACGCCATGTGGATCACACGTTCGTTTCTCTTCCCGACGAATTATAAGGAGCATCATCACGGTAACCCTTACAGCAGCCTGACCTTCCCCGCCGCGCCCACACCTGACGCCACAGATGCACACACACGGACGATGTCTGCACAGAAGCCAGTAAGATACTGAAGCAGTGTGACACCGACACACAACTTCAGCATCATATTTCAGCGACACCCGCCTACATCTGCCATTCTAGGGCCTATACAAAAACCAATAGACACCACCTTCATCTATAATCTTGGGTTAGGTTAGGACAAGACGGTGGCGTGTGTGTGGTCGTTATATCACTCAGTGTACCAAGCTTACCACTGAGTAAGCCTCGAGACTATACTGAAAGAAAACCCCATTCTTTCAACATCGACCCTTAGCGTAATGATTTCATCGACCTGAATACACACTACAATGACCTCAGCTTCGGGCTTCAGTTTAATAAAAAAAAAATCGACACAACAATGGGCTGCCCAATCAGTGGACGTCACTAAGTTTCGTATAGAATGGCTGGAAGAGTTACTACCAGCCAGCGTCATCACCCAGTATCATTATGTACTGTAAAAATTGTTCTTGATTGTCGAGAGATTATCTTAAAACAGAGAAAAAACTTTGTATTACATTTTCAATTAATACAAGAAAGTAAGCATCACTAATGTGTTAGCAGCGTCCGCATCTATCAATGTATCCACTTGGTGAGCTTGTTCATTTCACTTCTAATAGTTATGTCATATACATAATAATGCCACACGCTGTATAATCGTGCACAATAAAGTTCACAATCAAATACGGATGGAAGGAGAAGAAAATACTCAAGAAATCAGAAACAAACGACAAATTTTTATCTGAATGTTCTCTATTTGCTTTTCAAAGGCAATGGGTCCTCGCAATAGTGCTTGATTCTTTGCTGATATAAAATGCTGGACAAGTTATTACAATATGTAGAAAGAAATTTCACATAACCAACATTAACAACACTAATGACGGCTGATTCTCCCCCATGACAGACAGACATCACAAACACTTACAATCAAGACAATATAGGAGATTTATGATTCCTAAATTCACAGAAGGAGTCGGCCAGTGGGACATTCTTGCCAACTTTCAACAGCGACCAACTTTTCCAAACGACTGCAAACAGGCCACATAGGATAACCCCATAGTGGAGAACGTTGCCACAACAATGCTGGAGGCAGCTTCTGGGAAGGACAAAGCACGCTTCCTAGCTGTGCAAGCTCTCCATGCTGGTGACTTGCTGTTGGCTATCCCCAATGCTGTCTTGGGCACGCACCTGGAACACCGGGACCTAAGTATTGGTGTTGCCCTGTGCCTTGCCACACCTATCTCAGCATTGGTGTGTGTAACTAAATGAATGTGGTGTAACTAAATGAATGTGGTGTAACTAAATGAATGTGGTGTAACTAAATGAATGTGGTGTAAATAAATGAATGTGTAACTAAATGAATGTGGTGTAACTAAATGAATGTGGTGTAACTAAATGAATGTGGTGTAACTAAATGAATGTGGTGTAACTAAATGAATGTGGTGTAACTAAATGAATGTGGTGTAAATAAATGAATGTGGTGTAACTAAATGAATGTGGTGTAACTAAATGAATGTGGTGTAAATAAATAAAGTGCATCTGCGGCTATGCGTCGGCAGACCAATACGGCAGCCATGGTCTCATCTGTCGTAAATCATCGGGAAACATTGGCAGACATGAAGCAGTCAATGACATCATCAAGAGAAGTTTGGCTACAGCTGAGTGTCCAGCATAAAGGGAACCTCAGTTGTGCAGACCTGTCACAAACGCCCAGATGGCGTCACCCTGCAGCCATGGAGGGAAGAAAACAGGTCGTGTGGGACTACACGTGTGTGTCTACATTGGCTGATACCTACCTACCTCTCAGTGCCCGGAAAGCTAATAATTACAGGGACCTAAAACGTTGTTACAGGTTCGTGCCCTGGAGTAAATGTGCACTGAAGTTCTTAAAGAAGGTGAGTGAGGAACTCATTAGGCAAACTAGAGACTCAGGAACAGCCAGTTTCCAGTGCCTCGATGATTTGAGCCAGGAGAGTAGAGGGTAGAGAAGGTGGACGTGAGGTACCTACCTGGGTGGATGGAGCCTCTCCAGGTTGAGGATCATGGAGTTCATCATGGTGAAGGTCCAGTGGTTGGTGATGAGGCCGTGGAGCTGAGAGCGAGCCAGGCGGGTCACAACCACCAGCCTCGTCCTCCACACCAACAGCCGACCAGCAACTGACAGCTCGGCAAACTCTGCTATGAACGCTGGTTGGTTACTGGCCACCACCACCGTCAGGCACCACGTTACCTGACGCACCTGAGTCAACATGATGGAGAGGTGAGGCAAGAGCTCTACAACTCTGGAATACAATAGTACGGGTGGTGGTAGCGGGCGGGCTGTCCGCCTTGCTGACACCACGCCAGAGTTTGATAGCCAAGCTTGCCAGGAAGCAGCACGTGTATGGAAGGTTCGTCATGTATATTACAACATAGATGCCTGTCCATAGATTAATGCTGTTTAGCATTCTTATACACAGAGATGCTTGTGTACAAGTTTTGATGTACTATTTTATCTGTGAAATTATGAAAGGAGCCTGACAGCTGAGTGGACAGGGTTCGGGATTCGTTGTCCTAAGGTTCCGGGTTCGATCCCCGGTGGAGGCGCAAACAAATGGGCAAAGTTTCTTTTACTCTAATACCTCTGTTCATCTAGCAGTAAATAGGTACCTGGGAGTTAGACAGCTGCTACGGGCTGCTTCCTGGGGAGGTGTAACAAAAAGGAGGCCTGATCGAGGACCGGGCCGCGGGGACGGTAAGCCCTGAAATCATCTCCAGATAACAAGGGTGATAGAAGAGGGAGAGGACAGGGTGGTCGAGGACGGGGTGGAATGAGAGATACACCAGAGATCCTGGCAATAATAATGTGCATCAGATGACTGATATAAACAATATAGACACAAAGGACTTACTCTGCGCATATTCTCCACCATCTGGACCAGGTGAGTGTTGTTGGTGTCCTCATCCTCCAGCTGGAACACTGCCACACCAGCTGGTGCCTCCACCTCTCGCACCACCTGTGGACGCCCACCACTTACTCAGCTAACGGCTTGGACTAGAGATTATAAATGCCTCCTTACATACATGCAGGTTTCACTTTAAAATAATATATCTATCAAACATGGTTTTACTTCTAAGCTGTCTCGTTAATATATCTGTGCCGAGCCATCAAGCTATAACTAGCTTGACTAAACGAGTTCATAGGTTCATGCAGTTCCACTAGCGCGGGGACGCGACAATGTGAATACCTGCTTGATACCTACTTGATGGGGTTCTGGGAGTTCTTCTACTCGCCAAGCCCGGCCCGAGGCCAGGCTTGACTTGTACGAGTTCAAGCCTGGCCTCGGGCCGGGCTTGGGGAAGTAGAACTCCCAGAACCCCTGATTATATTATTACTGAATAAAAGGGGCACGGTAAATTAAGATATCTAAGCATTAGACATCAGTGAGTTGTAGACAAATGACTTTATTCAGCTTTTATACCAAGAATTTACGCACGGAGTATACACCCGCTTCTGTGTATACACACTGTACTTCAGTCCTGAAGCCTTGTTCACGGCTGAGGTATACTTGCTGGCTCGTTAATAACGCATTGTTGTGGCATTATTAATCCTCGCGCCCGTGGATCACCATGGAGAGTGTGGATCACCTTGGAGAGTGAGGAGTGTGTGGATCACCTTGGAGAGTGTGGAGGGTGTGGAGTGTGGATCACCTTAGAGAGTGTGGAGGGTGTGGAGTGTGGATCACCTTAGAGAGTGTGGAGGGTGTGGAGTGTGGATCACCTTAGAGAGTGTGGAGTGTGGATCAAGCAACAGGATGACGCTGCATTCCGAACTCGAGGAAGCTCTCAGCACAGCGTTGACAACACTGCTGGCCACGTTGACCAAGTCCACTGCGGGAGACTCGTCCAGACCTGGCGTCAGCAACACTGCCGAGTGTACATGAAACAAACCAACTTTCTCCCAGGACCATTATGAATAAAACCTATTTTATAACAATTAATTATCATGGATAATTATAAACGAAAAGACATGTAAAGTTCCACAGCATTGAATAGATACTGGATTATAAATACAATTTTGATATTAAAAAAATTTAAGACAAAATCATTCATACGAGATCTAAAGTTGTTATGTAATAGTTCTGAACATAGAAGACCTCATTCATGGGGAAACAGATTGTGAGGCAAGTACTCGGGTGTGAGACTGGACGTGACTCATGAGGAGGTATAGGCTGACGGAGCGGACAGAAGCACACTTCCCACACATGCATATATGTAGCAACAAGAGGTGGACGTGTCAAGAGGAGCAGCTAGAGGTGCTAGAGGCGCAGTCAACTGACACCATTAACCTGAGACAACTGACTTGTAGCCGGAGTGAGGAGGAGGAGGAAGGGCAGGCAGCCGCACACCGCCACCATCACACCAGTCATCATCCTCATCTGAAATGTGTGTTCCGTGTCTTACATTGTGGCCTTAAACCCTTCACTTGGCGCAAGGCATTATTATTATTATTATTATTATTATTATTATTATTATTATTATTATTATTATTAGTTACTAATTATGCACCCCATCCCCCATCCTGTTCCTCCGTACCATCCCAAATCCATATCCTGATCCATTCCAAGTGCTATATAGTCATAATGGCATGGCGTTTCCCCCTGATAATTCCCTCCCTACCATCTCCATCCCGTGGGCGATGGTGGGAAGGGTTACAGAGGCAGCCCTGTACACTAAACAAAGTCCCGCTGCGACTGACGTGTTTCATATTAAAAGGCAACTGACTGGATGTTTAACCCCCCCCCCGGTACTATTGAACACCCACACCCCATCCATATATACCTATGAATCCCTTCCACCTACCTATAAAATCTCGCTCTCCTACCCGCCCCTCCCACACACACAGGCACAAGGTTCCAAGTAATGACCCGAGAGCTGCAGAACCTGTGAATTCCTGCAGCGCCATACTTACTAGCGGGCAGGCCGGCCGGGGCCGGGTCCTCGCCCCATCACCGCTGGTGTGTACCCTTCACACACCCGTCAATACAACGCTGCTGCAACACGTCCTCTCCCACAGTATACCGTATTTTGACGTCAAAATCCCGAACGGACAAATAAAAGTCTACTGTAAACCATGGCGGCTCACATTCACGTTTTCTGTGTGGCTGATAGGCCAGAACGGCCTGGCTTAGGCTAGGGCTCGGCCTGGCCTGGCTTAGGCTAGGGCTAGGGCTCGGCCTGGCCTGGCTTAGGCTAGGGCTCGGCCTGGCTTAGGCTAGGGCTCGGCCTGGCCTGGCTTAGGCTAGGGCTCGGCCTGGCCTGGCTTAGGCTAGGGCTCGGCCTGGCCTGGCTTAGGCTAGGGCTCGGCCTGGCCTGGCTTAGGCTAGGGCTCGGCCTGGCTTAGGCTAGGGCTCGGCCTGGCCTGGCTTAGGCTAGGGCTCGGCCTGGCTTAGGCTAGGGCTCGGCCTGGCTTAGGCTAGGGCTCGGCCTGGCCTGGCTTAGGCTAGGGCTCGGCCTGGCCTGGCTTAGGCTAGGGCTCGGCCTGGCCTGGCCTGGCTTAGGCTAGGGCTCGGCCTGGCTTAGGCTAGGGCTCGGCCTGGCCTGGCTTAGGCTAGGGCTCGGCCTGGCCTGGCTTAGGCTAGGGCTCGGCCTGGCCTGGCTTAGGCTAGGGCTCGGCCTGGCCTGGCTTAGGCTAGGGCTCGGCCTGGCCTGGCTTAGGCTAGGGCTCGGCCTGGCCTGGCTTAGGCTAGGGCTCGGCCTGGCCTGGCTTGGGCTGGTGTTATCGTTTTAGTACACAATTTGCTGTCCGTTGTGGTAACCCGAGACAACGGGCCAATTTCCAGAAGTTACGATATATATATATATATTTATCTTCGAAATGTGTGATTTGAGGGTTGCATGACTTTTGTGGAAACATGTGTAACAGGAACGTTTGATACATAATACATACCATGGAGACACGTGATCGCAACGTTTGATACATAATACATATTTATTGACATGTATAAACAGAAGCAGCGAGGAACATTTTCTTATTTATTTTGATGTTAATATGCTGCTATAATTATTATTATTATTAGACATTAAGCACGCCATCACGAAAGGAAGATGCACATCATTGTATAATACAGTCTTGGACGTAAACAATCAGTGTCAGCCTTAAAACTGTCCGAAGACCAGCCCGTCCTCCTGGGCGTTCTCAGCGTCACTAAACCGTTGTGCTAAAGTGCCCTATCCTAACCAACCAGAACACCCACGAACAGAAAACGGGACATCACCTCAATTTCGCGAGCCGCTATCATGTTTTGTAAATCATATTTTGGCCTTAGGTAGAGTGTACGTCAAAATGCGTCGTGCTATCAGGAGGACGGGTTGTGAAGGCAGGGGAGGGCAGGTGGCCCGCTGCTCTCCGCCACACACACACACACACACACACACACACACACACACACACACACACACACACACACACACACACACACACAGCCTCGATAACTAAGCACCTGGTTCAAGAAATAATTCCTGTCTCGAGTACTAAGGCAATGTATCATAACTTCCAATTACTGTCTTAACAACCCTCACATAAGAACTGTGTGTGCTCGTTGGACCGTAACTACCGTACTAGGCTGCTATCACTAAAGACTCTCTGAAGTATTCAGTGGTTGCCTACTTCCAGTTCACTGTAAACGGGTTGGCTTACTAACAATGCGGCACTTGTATATATTTTGTTATATCCGCCTTGCCATAAGATGCGTGCTAAACCACACTTCAATTATGAGAGAGCCTCGCCAGCTGACAAAGCAGCAACACTTCACTCACACCGGACAACCTCCTCACGGAGACGCACGATAACATTTTCAATTGCATATTCGTGTGTTAATGTTAAAATGATTGATGAGCAATGTCCGCACGCTGCACGCACGCTCCTTGTCAGGTCCATACAAGATCTAGACACGCCCGGCGCACGCTGTGTAATGAACACAACCACCAATGCCATTTAGGACAAGTGATTCCAGTACAAGCACTGACTGCTTCATAACCAGTGATAACCGGAGACTCTCGGTCTCTTCACACGCTCACATTATAGTTATTATCCAGCCCGTCCTCCTAAGGTTTCACAACGTCAAGAAAACGGCCAGTTTAAAGTTAAAGTGTAAAGTAAAGCAGAGGACCCAAAACAGAAAATGGGACAGTACGTCACTTTCGCTATTCGCTTCCATTTAGTAGTACGAAATTTTTTGGCCTTATGTAGCGCATACGAGCGAAAAGGAACATTCTTTGTGAGAGGACAGGTTGTATAAACACCAGTACACACACACACAACACGAACGGTATCAAGAGTATCAAGCTCGTGCTCGGAAACACACAGCAGATCAACAGTAAAACAAATACATTAACATTACTATTAACCTTCACAATAATATAAAATTAAAACTTGATTAGCCCACATTTCTGAGGAGGAAATATCTAAAGCGCCTCCATGCCCCCCCCCCACACAGACGTTATCATCACAGGTGCCTCACCACGCCCCCCCCCCCACACAGACGTTATCATCACAGGTGCCTCACCACGTTCACCCCCCCCACACAGACGTTATCATCACAGGTGCCTCACCACGTTCCCCCCCCCACACAGACGTTATCATCACAGGTGCCTCACCACGTTCCCCCCCCCCCCCCACAGACGTTATCATCACAGGTGCCTCACCACGTTCCCCCCCCCCCACACAGACGTTATCAACACAGGTGCCTCACCACGCCCCCCCCCCACACAGACAGACGTTATCATCACAGGTGCCTCACCACGCCCCCCCCCACACAGACGTTATCATCACAGGTGCCTCACCACGTCCCCCCCCCCCCACACAGACGTTATCATCACAGGTGCCTCACCACGCCCCCCCCCCACACACATAGACGTTATCATCACAGGTGCCTCACCACGTCCCCCCCCCCCCACACAGACGTTATCATCACAGGTGCCTCACCACGCCCCCCCCCACACACACAGACGTTATCATCACAGGTGCCTCACCACGCCCCCCCCCCACACACACAGACGTTATCATCACAGGTGCCTCACCACGCCCCCCCCCCCCACACAGACGTTATCATCACAGGTGCCTCACCACGCCCCCCCCCCCACACAGACGTTATCATCACAGGTGCCTCACCACGCCCCCCCCCCACACACACAGACGTTATCATCACAGGTGCCTCACCACGCCCCCCCCCACACACACAGACGTTATCATCACAGGTGCCTCACCACGCCCCCCCCCCCACACAGACGTTATCATCACAGGTGCCTCACCACGTCCCCCCCCCCCACACAGACGTTATCATCACAGGTGCCTCACCACGTCCCCCCCCCCACACAGACGTTATCATCACAGGTGCCTCACCACGTTACACAGACGTTATCATCACAGGTGCCTCACCACGTTCCCCCCCCCCACACAGACGTTATCATCACAGGTGCCTCACCACGTTACACAGACGTTATCATCACAGGTGCCTCACCACGTTCCCCCCCCCCCACACAGACGTTATCATCACAGGTGCCTCACCACGGAGATGGACCACGATGACCCAGATTACTGGACAAAATATATACTTCCCGAAGCAACATATCAAGGCATCAACAAGAGAAAGAACCTGACGTTGATCCAGAATGAAGATGCAGAGAGCTTGAGACATAAGGTGTCACTAGGAGTCGGTGACCACTGCGTCATGGGGTTCGACTCCACTCCACAACAAGGTAAACAGCGTGAGACTACTAGAAGGTTCGGGCTTACCTGCTCGATGTTCAATGGGAGGCCGAGATGGAAGGGAAGTCAGCGAAGGAGATGGAACTCCTAACACATAATTCCAGTTAATGAAGAAGGTAAATATCCACCTGGAGGATTATAGCAGAAACACTAGAGCCAGACCCCAGATACCGCCAAGGGTGCTGAAGGAAGCAGCGGGGAGATTGTGTTACCCAGTAACTATGGTGGTCAACAGAGCCGGCCTTGTGACAACCCTCACAGGAGCACCTCGACACCACATCATCCGAACCATAAGTAAAGATACCAAACACAAGATCATCATTTAAGAATCTAAACAAGGCTTTAATACATATAAAGCTTTACATATTTAACACATTCTTAATACTTATTTTACATACTAAGTACATATTTTATAGCTTTAATACATATTAAAGCTTAATTATGTATTTAAGCTTTAATACATATTAAAACTCTAATGCATATTAAAGATGTAATACATTTAATACATATTAAAAGCTTTAATAATGGCTTTATTACATATACATTGTCCATATACAATGCCGTGTGTGTGACCCAGCTTGAGTCTGCAGCACCGGTATGAAACCCGCACATAAATCAGAGGTTTGTAACTAGATTAGTACCAACATTTGAGACTATGAGGCAAGATTG